TTGCCAGGAGACGTCCGACACTTCAAATCCTAGTTCCTCCTCCCACCCTGCCCTAATATGACTAAGTGACGGCGAGGCGATCATCTGGATATCCTCATATAACCTGCTCACTCCTCTTTGATTTAGATCCCCCTCCAACCACTCATCTATCCAGTCATTTGGCGAGAGTAACGGAAAGGAAGGAAAATGTTTCCGCACAAAGACACGCACCTGCTGATACCTGAAATAATGCGAACTGGGAATATTATACTCATTTACCAGCTGCTCGAATGACATGAACACACCATCTCTAAAAAGATCCTTCACCCGTTTCAGACCATTCCTGAACCATAACTTAAATGCTGTATCCATGAGTGAGGGTGGGAAAAGTGCGTTGGCTGAGATTGGGAGAGAGGGCATAGCCTGTCTATGTTTGAAGTGGGTCCTGAATTGGGACCATATTCGAAGTGAGCCACTCACAATAGGATTATTTGTGAGGCGCTGTTTACTGAGTGGCAATGGCGCACATACTAAAGAGGGTAGGGACACCGAATGAGCAGAATGTTGTTCCATTTCAACCCATACAGGTCCACCCCCCTCATAAGACGCAGATACCCAGTATATTAGTTTATAAATATTAGCTGCCCAGTAATACTGTAAAAAATTTGGTAGTGCTAAACCTCCAGCTTCCTTCTGTTTCTCAAGATGTGCCCTCTTTATTCGTGGGATGGTTTTATTCCAGATAAAGGTGGAAATAGATTTATCTAGCTCTCTGAAAAAGGACTTTGGGATAAAAACARGTATTGTATTAAACAAGAATAAGAACCTGGGCATAAWTGTCATCTTGACAGAATTAATCCTTCCAGCAAGCGATATAGGCAGCGCTGACCAACGGATAAGGTCCTGTTTGGCCCTCTCCAGGGCTGGTTTAAAGTTATGCTTGAATAAATCACTGTATTTACGGGTTACTGATACACCAAGATAGGTAAAAGTGTCACGAGTTTCTTTTAGTGAATATGCCTCRAAAGACATCTGTCGAGCCTGGTCGCTAATAGGGMAGAGCAAACTCTTAGTGAGGTTGATTCTGTAGCCTGAAATCTCTCCAAAGCTAGAGATRATTTCTAATSCCTTAGGAATAGAGGTGCAAGGRTCGGACAGGTAAAGTATCAGGTCATCCGCATATAGAGACAGTTTGTG